TAATAACATAGCAATATTTAAATTGAACAAATGAAGCTCAGTCAGCGTTCCTCTAACGGTGTGTGTGTGTGTGTGTGTGTGTGTGTGTGTGTGTGTGTGTGTGTGTGTGTGTGTGTGTGTGTGTGTGTGTGTGTGGTGTGTGTGTGTGTGTGTGTGTGTGTGTGTGTGTGTGTGTGTGTGTGTGTGTGTGTGTGTGTGTGTGTGTGTGTGTGTGTGTGTGTGTGTGTGTGTGTGTGTGTGTGTATCACATGTGGGAAAGCTCATTTAAAAAGTTCATTCAGGACATTTTATTTTTTGACTTTTTTAAATGAAAGACAGATTTTTTACAGAAAATGTAATGTTTTTAGATTTAAATTGAGTTTTAAAGAAAGTTCCTGAAATATTGTAATGATCCTAAAAATCTGCTACAAACAGGTCGACTTTATGAGTCCTCGTTATAATATAACCACCAATTATTATAATATAGACATGCCTTACAGATACCCCTCATTACATCAGAACTATGTCTCATTACATCAGAACTATGTCTCATTATATCAGAACTATGTCTCATTATATCAGAACTATGTCTCATTATATCAGAACTATGTCTCATTATATCAGAACTATGTCTCATTACATCAGAACTATGTCTCATTATATCAGAACTATGTCTCATTACATCAGAACTATGTCTCATTACATCAGAACTATGTCTCATTACATCAGAACTATGTCTCATTATATCAGAACTATGTCTCATTACATCAGAACTATGTCTCATTACATCAGAACTATGTCTCATTATATCAGAACTATGTCTCATTACATCAGAACTATGTCTCATTATATCAGAACTATGTCTCATTACATCAGAACTATGTCTCATTACATCAGAACTATGTCTCATTACATCAGAACTATGTCTCATTATATCAGAACTATGTCTCATTACATCAGAACTATGTCTCATTACATCAGAACTATGTCTCATTACATCAGAACTATGTCTCATTACATCAGAACTATGTCTCATTATATCAGAACTATGTCTCATTACATCAGAACTATGTCTCATTAGAACTATGTCTCATTACATCAGAACTATGTCTCATTACATCAGAACTATGTCTCATTACATCAGAACTATGTCTCATTACATCAGAACTATGTCTCATTAGAACTATGTCTCATTACATCAGAACTATGTCTCATTAGAACTATGTCTCATTACATCAGAACTATGTCTCATTAGAACTATGTCTCATTACATCAGAACTATGTCTCATTAGAACTATGTCTCATTACATCAGAACTATGTCTCATTACATCAGAACTATGTCTCATTATATCAGAACTATGTCTCATTAGAACTATGTCTCATTACATCAGAACTATGTCTCATTATATCAGAACTATGTCTCATTACATCAGAACTATGTCTCATTACATCAGAACTATGTCTCATTACATCAGAACTATGTCTCATCATATCAGAACTATGTCTCATTACATCAGAACTATGTCTCATTACATCAGAACTATGTCTCATTACATCAGAACTATGTCTCATTATATCAGAACTATGTCTCATACTATCAGAACTATGTCTCATCATATCAGAAACTATGTCTCATTACAATCAGAACTATGTCTCATTACATCAGAACTATGTCTCATTAACATATCAAGCAACTATGTCTCATTACATCAGAACTATGTCTCATTACATCAGAACTATGTCTCATTATATCAGAACTATGTCTCATTAGAACTATGTCTCATTACATCAGAACTATGTCTCATTACATCAGAACTATGTCTCATTATATCAGAACTATGTCTCATTATATCAGAACTATGTCTCATTACATCAGAACTATGTCTCATTACATCAGAACTATGTCTCATTAGAACTATGTCTCATTACATCAGAACTATGTCTCATTAGAACTATGTCTCATTACATCAGAACTATGTCTCATTAGAACTATGTCTCATTACATCAGAACTATGTCTCATTACATCAGAACTATGTCTCATTATATCAGAACTATGTCTCATTAGAACTATGTCTCATTACATCAGAACTATGTCTCATTATATCAGAACTATGTCTCATTACATCAGAACTATGTCTCATTACATCAGAACTAGTGGGGTTGTGGTGGTCTAATGGATAGTGAGGTGGGCTGAAGATTGGAAGGTCGTGAGTTCAAATCCCGCCTGGAACACCACCACTTTGAGTAAGGCCCCCCCCCTTCAGTTACTCCAGGGAGAATGTCCCTGTAATTGTAAGTCGCTTTGGATAAATGAAATGTAATGTAATGTAACTACGTCTCATATCAGAACTATGTCTCATTATATCAGAACTATACGTACGAAACGCTCTGGGGGGCCAAACGGCTCCGTGTGTACGCCCTATACGATCATAGCCCCGCCTCTCACCCCGCGTCATTGCTGCTGCGTTTAGCCAACAACAACAAAGGCGGATCACAGACGCTACTGACCATGCTACAGATGTTAGAGCAACATCTACAGCTGCTCGACCACAACCATCAGCAACAAGTGGACATGGAGAACTACATGAACTACATGTTGCTGAATCCACCGCGGAGAATAACCAGAAGGGCAACCAGGCAACCATGGCAACCATGCAGGGAGGTCTTCTTCGCTGCTTTTGGTGCATTTTGTGGCGGAAGTACAGCGCCACTTACAGGCCCGGCATATGTACTACAGCGTCTCCAGCAGGTCGAGCGCTCTCGTGCGGACAGAAGACTTTTTGAAAACGACTTTGGTTTGTTTTCGTCTCCGTGTGGACGGGGTCTTATATTCTACCTGAGTATTATTATATTCTCTGTTGATTATTATTCATATATTCCTTTGTTCCAGATTTCTATCAATATTTTATAACAGAAACAAACAAACATTGTCTTGTCTGTCTTTTATTTTGAAGGTGAGATGAACTTATTATCAGTCATACATTATAGTTTATTATTTATTTATTGTACTTAAGTAATTAATTCATTATTTATTATTATTTATATTCAATTAACTTAATAAACTGATTTTTAATTATTATTTCTAAACCTCCATGAAATGAATGTATTAGAGATAAGATAAGAGAGGACTCTATTTATCCTGAAGGAAATGGTTGTTCCAGAGTTACAGAAAGACAGTAAACCCAGCAGCATGATAATAAACTGTACACTGACAGTATGTACATATGGACATATGACTGCAGTGACAAGAGCAGTGACATCTCTACAGGAAACACACGCTCACATAGTTCATGTAAATACTGTACAGTGACGAGCAGGGTTTAGTAGAGCAACCAAACGTAGTGGCAGATACGTAACTGCACGTTATTATAGAACATTATTATTAATAATAATAATATTGCACATGTTATATAGCAGAGAGTGTTTGATGACTGAGGATGAAGATGATGATGAAAAAGCCTCTTGATGATGAAGAGGAGTTCCGGTTTCCATTGTTGCTGACAGACCGAGGGTGTGCCACACACACACACACACACACACACACACACACACACACACACACACACACACACACACACACACACACACACACACACACACACACACACACACACACACACACACACACACACACACACACACACACACACACACACACACACACACACACACACACACACACTCACCGCGACCACCACGGTGTCCTCTCCGTTGAATTTGGGGATGTCCTTGTCTCCTCGGCTCCTCTCGGACTCGTTGAGAGGTCTGAAGCGACACATCACCTTCACCCCGCAGAGCCCGCATCCCGCAGCCTCCTCCATCCCAGAAACACACCGGAGCACCGGGGACAGAGAGCCAGAAACACCGGGCACAGAGAACCAGAAACACCGGGGACAGAGAGCCAGAAACACCGGGCACAGAGAGCCAGAAACACCGGGCACAGAGAACCTGAAACACCGACCCTCCGGCTGAGAAACGCCCGCAAACAGGGCCTCTCGCTCGGCTTCTCTTCTCTTCTCTTGCCGGTCAGGTTGATGCTGCTCCGGTAGACTCACCGTCTGTCTGTGTTCTCCATCAGACTGAACACTCCCACCTGGAGGAGCCGCGGTGCACTCTGGGACATGGAGTCCTGCTGCTGGAACATCATCACAACCAATCAGAGTACTTTATTTAAACTGGGGATTTTTTGGGGGTTAAGAATGAAAGAATATCAAATATATAAATATAAAATGTTAAAGTTAGAATGTCCAATAAAAGATACAATTAAAAAGATTTAAAGAAAAGATAAAAGAAAATAATTAAAATAAAATATTTCAATAAAAGATTTCAATCTTGTATTGAAATGAAAGATTGCACTGTATCTACGCACACATGAGATATAAAGGTAAGGATGTGGAGAAAGAGCCAAATCAGACTGAACCACCTGGAGGAGCCGCGGTTAGGGTTTGTTCTACTTTGATGTATGCACCACGACACCAAGTCAAGTTCCTCGTACGTGTGAACCTTTATATATACAGTCTATGGTGTGAACCCACCTGGAGATAAACCTGGTTCTGGTTCTCAGTCATGTTAGACTAAAAAAACATATCTTCTGTTTTGACACAATGCATGTTTGAATGATCAGAAGGCCATGCAGACTAAAACATATGAACCATATCCTGCAGCACATGTTGAAGGGTTACCTCCACCTGACCTCCACCTGACCTCCACCTGACCTCCTCTGATCTGATGTTTATCAGCCGTGGACTTGTTTCTCTTTGTTTTACTAATGTGTGCTTTTCTTCTTTTTATTATTGCTCGCCTCTTTAGATTCCCCTTTGCTGTACGTTTGTAACACAGGACTTCTCTCTGTTTGTCTCCTTGATGAATCTTCTGTCAGCAGACACTGAGTCATGGCTCTTATAGGATGCCTTCTTCTCCATCAACACATTTACACAATAAAAGCATCTTTTTATTGGGCTTTTATTGTGACAGTGTCCGGAAGCTCAGTGTGTGGTGCCTTCAGGTGTCTTTCTGAAACACCGACACGCAGCTTCATTTCTGCGGATCCGTTCTGCAGCTGGACCGACAGCTGGACCGACAGCTGGACCCGAACCGAGCCGAGCCAAGCCAAACCAGGACCAGGGACACAGAGAGATAGAGAGAGAGACTTGGACAGACGGTTCGTCTCCTGAAGGTTCGGCAGCTGGACTGACAGCTGGACCCGAGCCGACGCGAGCCGAACCGAACCAGAACCAGAGAGAGAGACTCAGACAAACGGTTCTCCTGCAGAACCGAGCAGACTCAAGGTGAGAACCAGATCTAGAACCAGTGAGATATCTCACACCTTTAACGCAAGCGCCCGCGCGCGTGTGTGTGTGAGTGGTGTGTGGGGTGTGTGTGTGTGTGTGTGTGTGTGTGTGTGTGTGTGTGTGTGTGTGTGTGTGTGTGTGTGTGTGTGTGTGTGTGTGTGTGTGTGTGCGCGCGCCACTCCCTTCTGTCCTCAGCTCTAAAAACGGTACCGGTAATTTTCGAAGGTGATCAGGTGATATTTTACCGGTAATATGAAGATACACACACACACACACACACACACACACACACACACACACACACACACACACACACACACATTATTAACACACACACGTGTTTTTTGTAATGTGTGTCTGTGGCGTGTGTGTGTGTTAATGTGTGTGTGTGTGTGCGTGTGTGTTAATGTCTGTGTGTGTTAATGTGTGTGCGTGTGGGTGTGTGTTAATGTCTGTGTGTGTTAATGTGTGTGCGTGTGGGTGTGTGTTAATGTGTGTATGTTAATGTGTGTGTATTCATGTGTGTGTGTGTGTATGTGTTTGTGTGTCTGTAAATGTGTGTGCGTGTGTGTGTGTGTGTGTGTGTGTGTGTGTGTATTACAGGTGTGTTAGAAAGAGACTGATGGCCCATGAAGGTCAAAGACAGGTATTAATAAGATGAAACACTAACAGGTTAACTCATTATTGTATTTGATCTGTTTCATTAGTTGTATGTCCTGTATGTATGTTGCTCTGTTGGAGGAGGACTTGAATCCTTTATACCATTATCAGTATAGTAATGTCATTATTAGCTAACAGGATATATTTGTCTTCTTCCAGAGTCGTGTAAACATCAGTTAGATTAGATTTGACTACTCTTTACATAACGCTTCATTAGCATATTTCAGCATTACAGCAACACAAGACGTCAACTTGTGATATAACAGGGTAATGAATGAGGTGGGGGGGTTTCATGGTTTCAAAGATGAAAGATTCAAAGGTGTTCTTGTCATATGCACAAAGCTACAGTGCAGAATGACATTCTTCTGACCTGAGGGTTAGGGTTTGTTTATACATGTTGCATTGTTGGAGGAGCCAACAATGCAACATGTATAAAGAAATCTGATTGGTTATAATATGGACGGACATTAAAGACCTCTGTGTGTCAGACCAGTCGCTAATGGCGCGTTTCCACTACAGCGCGGAGCACGGTTTAAGAGGGCTGTGACGTCAGCGGCCCGTCTTTGGTTGCGTTTCCACTTGGCCTAGTACCGGCCGGCGGGTCCTAATTCACAGTTTTTCTGGCCTCATAAAATCGTGGGTCTAGGGCCAGAGACAACGAGGCTGAGTCGGGCTGAGTATGCTAAACTAGAGAGAGCATCGCTGGCAAGGGGGCTACAACTACAACAAGATGGACATATTTGACCGTGATTTAATTGTAATACACGTTTCAAAATGATGCCGAAGTAACAACATACTGATACCGGTTAGTAAAAACCATGAATTAATGCTTTGTCAAGTCTGCAGACAGATGGCAGGAGAAACACCTTTTAAAATGCGTGTTTTTCTAAATGGAGATTGGCTAAGCTAACGCAGTATATGCTCCGACCGTCCACACTCACAACAACGGCCTACAGACATAAATAAAGCAGCGACTGTATTCACCATGACACAGGCAGTCTGTGGTTTGTACTTGTTTAACTTTTGTCTAGTTTCTGAACAGATATGAGGAGCTGTGAGCTCTGAGTGCTAACAGCTAACGGCTGTGTTGTTTTTCTGGGGTCCTCTGAAGATCACGTCACGGCTCCGCCTACACTGCGTTACTATAGATACTACCCCAGTTCCTAAACTGTAATGGAAATGCGCCATAAAGTGAGCCAGTCCTAACGAGGCCCAGCCATACCGAGCGGGGCCGAGCGAGGCCGTGTAGTGGAAACGCGCCATAAGTGGCTAACACACTGCTCCTCTCTCCAGTCTCTGATGTTTCCTGTGTTTCTGTATGAAGGTGTATTTGTGTGTTTACTTCAGGTCTCACCTGGATCAGAGAGGCCATGGAGGAGTGAAGTCAGCAGGGATTAAACCTGAGGATCCAACATGGCCTCCGTGTTAGCAGTGTGTTTCCTGCTTCTTCCTGCTGCCATCGGTCAGTTCAGACACTTCTTCATATCATCACAACACACTCATTCAGCTAGCTTAGCATCAAGCACTTAGACATAGGGAGGCTGTTAGCCTAGCTTAGCACAAACACTGGAAGCAGAGGGAGGCTGTTAGCCTAGCTTAGCACAAACACTGGAGGCAGAGGGAGGCTGTTAGCCTAGCTTAGCACAAACACTGGAGGCAGAGGGAGGCTGTTAGCCTAGCTTAGCACAAACACTGGAGGCAGAGGGAGGCTGTTAGCCTAGCTTAGCACAAACACTGGAGGCAGAGGGAGGCTGTTAGCCTAGCTTAGCACAAACACTGGAAGCAGAGGGAGGCCGTTAGCCTAGCGTAGCACAAACACTGGAGGCAGAGGGAGGCTGTTAGCCTAGCTTAGCACAAACACTGGAAGCAGAGGGAGGCTGTTAGCCTAGCTTAGCACAAACACTGGAGGCAGAGGGAGGCTGTTAGCCTAGCTTAGCACAAACACTGGAAGCAGAGGGAGGCTGTTAGCCTAGCTTAGCACAAACACTGGAGGCAGAGGGAGGCTGTTAGCCTAGCTTAGCACAAACACTGGAGGCAGAGGAAGGCTGTTAGCCTAGCTTAGCACAAACACTGGAAGCAGAGGGAGGCTGTTAGCCTAGCTTAGCACAAACACTGGAGGCAGAGGGAGGATGTTAGCCTAGCTTAGCACAAACACTGGAAGCAGAGGGAGGCTGTTAGCCTAGCTTAGCACAAACACTGAGTTAGAAGGAAACTGTTATTCTAGCTTAGCTTTCTGCCTAGTTATATTAAGGTTAAAGAAAAAAGTATGTATTTAACTATGGAAGGAAATCTATGGGTGTGTTACAGGAACACAGATCAAAATGAATCACTATTGCAATTAACTCATGACACACACACACACACACACACACACACACACACACACACACACACACACACACACACACACACACACACACACACACACACACACACACACACACACACACACACACACACACACTGTCGTCAGCCAGTCTGTCCGTTTTTGTGTTTTGTTGTGATGTGTTTGATAAGACGAGGAAGCACACATTCCACCTTCCTCTCATTGTTTGTGTGTGTGTGTGTGTGTGTTTGTGAGCGTGTGTGTGTGAGCGTGTGAGTGTGTGTGCGTGTGTGTGAGCGTGTGAGCGTGTGTGTGTGTGTGAGCGTGTGAGTGTGTGTGTGTGTGTGTGTTTTGTGTGAGCGTGTGTGTGTGTTTGTGTGAGCGTGTGTGTGTGTGTGTGTGTGTGTGTGTGTGTGTGTGTGTGTGTGTGTGTGTGTGTGTGTGTGTGTGTGTGTGTGTGTGTGTGTGTGTGTGTGTGTGTTACAGTAGACTAAACAGACAGTGTCTCCTCACAGTGACCACATGTTAATCTCAGCAGCAGATTTTCATGATATGTGACGAGTGTTCCTTCCACTGGCTTTCCTGAAGGATTCATACAGGTCTACATGTGTGTGTTCAGGTCTACATGTGTGTGTTCAGGTCTACGTGTGTGTGTTCAGGTCTACGTGTGTGTGTTCAGGTCTACGTGTGTGTGTTCAGGTCTACGTGTGTGTGTTCAGGTCTACGTGTGTGTGTTCAGGTCTACGTGTGTGTGTGTTCAGGTCTACGTGTGTGTGTTCAGGTCTACGTGTGTGTGTTCAGGTCTACGTGTGTGTGTTCAGGTCTACGTGTGTGTGTTCAGGTCTACGTGTGTGTGTGTTCAGGTCTACGTGTGTGTGTTCAGGTCTACGTGTGTGTGTTCAGGTCTACGTGTGTGTGTTCAGGTCTACGTGTGTGTGTTCAGGTCTACGTGTGTGTGTTCAGGTCTACATGTGTGCGTTCAGGTCTACATGTGTGTGTTCAGGGCTACAGATGGAGCATCTTATTTCAGACTCCAGCTTACTGCTTCCTGCCTACTACCAGCCAGTTACCTGCCTAAGACCTGCCAAAGACCAGTATCTGGGAATGTTAAGCCCTCCCACTATTTTCCAAGAGGGCGTTGCCAGATTTTCAATTTCAGGATTTAACCAGGAGATGGCGCTTCATTCACAAAAACAGGAAGAGAACTTTCATGGACTTTCAGTTTTGTTTAGAAGAGCATTTGAACACATCAATATTTTAGATCAAATGAAGTATATCTAATCTTGTAATTCAATAATATATAGTCTTTATATATTAAATAACTATGGCCAAACTAAGACTTAGTTTTTCAAAAGAGAAAATGCAGATATTATATAAAAAACTAAAGTTAAAATCTTGTTTTTAATGCCCCAAGAGCAATAAAAACACTTGGTAAAAAAATCCTGAGTGAGGCTTTCATAAATTGCATTTAGCTGACGCTTTTATCCAAAGCGACTTACTATTTAATAAATGATAAATGATTATTCATAACAAATATGAGTGATGTGTGATTATTATTCATGCTATATACTGATATAGGGCTAAGTAAGCAATCAATCCTGCAAATTAACCCTTAGTTGTTCAATATATTTATTCAGACAATGTGAGTAGAAATACAGAAATTCTGCTCCCACCTCAGGCCAACGTTGCAATATTACAACATTTCCCTAAAAACTTACCAACACGTAAACATTTTTAAAACTCTTTCATTTCTGCTCCAGAGGCTATACAACAACATCTGAAAGGTCAACAAAACAAAGCCATTTGTAGCATATGGGAGAATGGTGAAAAGAACCAACTGGACTGGGACCAATGGGGAAATGCCTCTTCCCCTCAATGTGAAGCAAAAGATTGAGTCCTTTGTTTCCAATCGGTTCCCAAATGTGAACATTATTTTGTATTTTTATTAAATTTGACAATGTCAATTTCACTTTCCACTATGTACAGGTATCTTGGGTCAGTCTTCCAAATATCAGGAAGTAAAGTCAAGATGTGAACTCAACACGTAGTCTCTGGGTGGTTCTCAATGTGGAGTACGCTTGCTTGGTAGCACATGTCTGCTGAGCATCTTGCTTCAGAAGCGAGTCAAGAATACTTCCTGGCATTTGGAAAACAAAGAGTGGAACAGGCTAGCAAGTGTGCAGGTGTGCGTCATATGAGAGGCCCCGCCTCTTACATCTTCCGCCACAGATTTGGGGAAATTGGTCCGTGCGCAAAGCATTGTGGGGATTTTAAGACCGCGGAGTCTACTCATGTGCAGCCTCGATATTTCTCCAAACGGAGTACGCCGGGCTCGGTAGATTTCCAAGTATGCTGGAGATTGGAACAGTACTTCAGCGGCACTCTATGACGTAGTATGCTTGAAATAGTGGCTCTGAAGCAGCTTTACTCGACATTGAGAAACACCCACTCAGAGGGGGGTACTAATTATTTTCAAATGCATATAGGCAATGCCATCCATTTACATGTAGTGTAGGCAACACTGCTCTTTCAGTCAAGAATTAGAATTTGAATGGGATGGGGAGACGCTCTGCCAACACTGACCCAATCTTCTGCTCCTTACAGCCCACTGCCTGTGTTTTAACATGTTCTTTTGTTTTGTTTTATTTGTTTTGTTTTAATGTTCTGTATTTTAAATTGTTTTATTTAAGTATCCCAGTAATGTATGTTGCATGTTTTAAATGTATTGTATTTACTTGTTTAAAATGAAATGTGTTTTTGATTGACTTTTCAAATCTGTCCAGGGACTACAGATGAAAAATAGCCTCTTGGCTAACTCTGGCACATTTACAGAAGTGTTCATTAATGTGCACTGTCCCTGTTAAATACATGAATGAATAAATAAAAACACCATTGCCACCGGTCATTCCAGTGCCAGTGGTCACTCCAGGGTCGGCGAGACGTGTGGGATTAAAAATTCATTCGCAGAAATGTAAAGTGATCTAACTAAGTTCTATTCATATTCTTGACGGGAAGAGCAGTGTAAATGGGTGGCCTATATGCATTTGAAAAGCAACATAAATCACACAGTTAGTATACAATAGGCTTTAAAAGCACCATCGATAACCATTGCCTTTCTCCAATTCAAACCATGTACTATGTACAGGTATCTTGGGTCAGTCTTGTCTTCCAAAAATCAGGAAGTAAAGTCCCTGGTTTGTGACGTGAAGTCAACAGGTATTCACTCAGAGGGGGGTAGGTACTAAATGCCACCCATTGACATCAAAAATCAACATACAGTAGGGGGGTGGGGGATGGTGAACGGTATGTGGGACACTGAAAAGTCTATGTTAAAAAGCCTCAGTCACCTTAATTCATGTAATAAAAACATCTCAGGTCAGTAACACTGAAAGCTAAATGTGCAATACCATGTTCAGCTATGTTACTATTTATAATGTTATTGTTGTTACAACAGAAGATGTTTTTCTTTATATTGAAGTTAAATGCATCAATCTGGTGCACTTTGAGGTCAAAATTAAGAGATTTATGGATACCGCTGGAAAAAGCTGCAGTACATATGCCGAGCCTGTACGTAGCGCTGTAACTTCCTCCACAAAAGCAGCCTTCTGTTTATTCAACGTGGTGGGGGGCCGAGGGAACCGGGCAGAGTTTTTCGCCGGTCAACGTGTGTTAAAGTTTAAATCTTCCTTATTGAGCTTTAAAACAAATGAATAACGACTATATATAATAATAAAATACACGGAGCCTCTCTTTGCCCTCTCTTCTGACAGCGTCAGTGTCTGTCTCATGCAGCAGCTGATCCAGTAATGAGTGACCCGGCCGACAGTAAAAATAAACATTTATAACTAGTTTAGGTAGTTTGAGAGGTAATTGAAATAGCTAAGGGTGATGATCTGACTTGAAGTGTGTGTTTTGCTCCTCCCGCTGCATCACAGCTGTGTATATCACCATTCTTTAATTCAATGTTTGATAAGTGCATGCAGATCACAGTACAGTAAAACACGTACACAGATACATTATTTTGTATTTTTATTAAATTTGACAATGTCAATTTCACTTTCCACTATGTCCACCGTTATTTTGCACAACCAATGGCAGAACTTTATTGAGGCCTGTAATTAGGTCTCTTGGGTCAGTCTTGTCTTCCAAAAATCCTGTATCGCTTGCATCAGCTCCTGCTTCGAGCCTGGTTTAGCCTCCTTCCGAATGAAGTCTTTCATCAAGTGCCAGACCAACTCGATGGGATTCAAATCCGGAGATTCGGGTGGAGTTTTAACCCAGTTTATTCCCTCGGCCGCAATTGCAGCTGCAGCCGCGCTGTGTTTCGGGTCATTGTCTTGGAAGAAGCGGTGATCCGACCCAAAATGCTCCTTGATGTATGGACTTGCAGCTTCCTTGATGATACTGTTTTCAAAGTAGATTCTGTCCATGATTCCTTCAAAGATAACCAAAGGGCCTGGACCGTGGCGCGAAATCATTCCCCAGACATGCAACTTTCAGAGCCATGTATTCAGTAATCAGTAAATGATTACATTTACAAAGTAACCCTCCCAACCCTGTTCGTATCGCAATATATTCCAGAAGTCTGAAATGCAAAACATTTCCCACATTAGGGCAATTCACCTATACTTAACCCCAAATAAAAGAACCCAATAAAAACAGTTGTTAAATAATAGTGAAGTCACGTTGTAATAATAACTCATCTCTCGGTTTGAGTGTTCTTTTTCTGCTTTGCCAAAAGCCACTGTGTCAAGTGTCTAGTTACTATTTTTCTTAGCGGATGCATGTCAATTTAAATCAATACATACAACTCTTTTTTAAATCAATAAAAACATTTTCTAAACCCATAAAAGCATTTCAATTAAGATTGGGAGTCATGTCGTTACTTTGTTGAGAATGTGGCCATGTAATAAACGGGATAATTTGCAGCGACTTGGTCATTATGGGGAAAAATAACACCCATCCTGATCGTTTCAATGAAGTTGAATACAGAATATTCATATTTGTCAGTGATTTCATGTCAATTCGGCGACATAAACATAAATGATCGTGGTGAAGATGATGATTAAATTAGGATTAAAAATCGGGAGAGCCGGCTGCATTTCCTCTCGTTCGTTTTTTTCGACTAAACAACATTATTTTGTTAAATAACAACATGGTGATGTTTTGTAAATGATTACATGTCTCTTATTTAGCACAGAGTATGATCCTATCCGTGACATATGGATCTTAACAAAGATCCGCTATACATTAGTACCAGACATACTGTACATCCAGCTTACTGTATCGAAGTTGATTTCACATGAGCTCCAGTGTGGAACCCCACTGCACCCCCTGGTGGATCAATGATCCATTGCAGCTGGCTTCACAATAATTACATTTATTTATCACGGGGGCGGTCTCAAGTCAGACTGGGGGCCGGCTCTTCATAGGGCTGTGCGATTATGGCAAAAATCATAATCACGATTATTTTTGGTCAATAATTGATATCACGATTATTAAATACGATTATTCATGACTTTGAAAACATCCATTTATTGAACTTTTAAATACAAATAATAATTTGAACAGTATCTTTTTAACTGTTGATTTCCCTGAACGTATAATTCAACTGAAAAACCAATACAAAAATAAAATAAATGATACATTTATATCAACATTTAAATAAATAATATCAAAATAATAAATACCAATAAACAAGATCAACAAATATTTTGGAGCGCACTTCAACAAGCTACTAAACAAATATAAATATGATAAATACAAATAAATTAGATCAAATATGTTGCAGTGCACTGTCACAACCTAGCAAGCAAAATAATCGTTTTTTTCGATTATGTTGTTTTCGTAATTGTGGCAGGCCAAAATCGTAATTGCGATTAAAATACGATTAATTGCACAGCCCTAGCTCTTCATCACGGGCCGACCACGGGCCGTTCACGGGCCGACCACGGGCCGTTCACGGGCCGACCACGACCCTCGCGTTTCAAACTGTCCTAAATTAGCTGCTACATCTCTACATGTGTGTGTTCAGGTCTACATGTGTGTGTTCAGGTCTACATGTGTGTGTTCAGGTCTACATGTGTGTGTTCAGGTCTACATGTGTGTGTTCAGGTCTACATGTGTGTGTTCAGGTCTACATGTGTGTGTACAGGTCTACATGTGTGTGTTCAGGTCTACATGTGTGTGTACAGGTCTACATGTGTGTTCGGTCTACATGTGTGTGTTCAGGTCTACAATGTGTGTGTTCAGGTCTACATGTGTGTGTTCAGGTCTACATGTGTGTGTTCAGGTCTACATGTGTGTGTTCAGGTCTACATGTGTGTGTTCAGGTCTACATGTGTGTGTTCAGGTCTACATGTGTTGTGTACAGGTCTACATGTGTGTGTTCAGGTCTACATGTGTGTGTTCAGGGTCTACATGTGTGTGTTCAGGTCTACATGTGTGTGTTCAGGTCTACATGTGTGTGTTCAGGTCTACATGTGTGTGTACAGGTCTACATGTGTGTGTTTAGGTCTACATGTGTGTGTTCAGGTCTACATGTGTGTGTTCAGGTCTACATGTGTGTGTTCAGGTCTACATGTGTGTGTACAGGTCTACATGTGTGTGTTTAGGTCTACATGTGTGTGTTCAGGTCTACATGTGTGTGTTCAGGTCTACATGTGTGTGTACAGGTCTACATGTGTGTGTACAGGTCTACATGTGTGTGTTTAGGTCTACATGTGTGTGTTCAGGTCTACAGGTGTGTGTGTGTTCAGGTCTACATGTGTGTGTTCAGGTCTACAGGTGTGTGTGTGTTCAGGTCTACAGGTGTGTGTTCAGGTCTACATGTGTGTGTTCAGGTCTACATGTGTGTGTTCAGGTCTACAGGTGTGTGTTTAGGTCTACATGTGTGTGTTCAGGTCTACAGGTGTGTGTTCAGGTCTACATGTGTGTGTTCAGGTCTACATGTGTGTGTTTAGGTCTACATGTGTGTGTTCAGGTCTACATGTGTGTGTTCAGGTCTACATGTGTGTGTTCAGGTCTACATGTGTGTGTTCAGGTCTACATGTGTGTGTTCAGGTCTACATGTGTGTGTTTAGGTCTACATGTGTGTGTTCAGGTCTACATGTGTGTGTTCAGGTCTACATGTGTGTGTTCAGGTCTACATGTGTGTATTCAGGTCTACATGTGTGTGTTCAGGTCTACATGTGTGTGTTCAGGTCTACATGTGTGTGTTCAGGTCTACATGTGTGTATTCAGGTCTACATGTGTGTATTCAGGTCTACAGGTGTGTGTTCAGGTCTACATGTGTGTATTCAGGTCTACATGTGTGTGTTCAGGTCTACATGTGTGTGTTCAGGTCTACATGTGTGTGTTCAGGTCTACATGTGTGTGTTCAGGTCTACATGTGTGTATTCAGGTCTACATGTGTGTATTCAGGTCTACATGTGTGTATTCAGGTCTACATGTGTGTGTTCAGGTCTACATGTGTGTGTTTAGGTCTACATGTGTGTGTTCAGGTCTACAGGTGTGTGTGTGTTCAGGTCTACATGCGTGTGTTCAGGTCTACATGTGTGTGTTTAGGTCTACATGTGTGTGTTTAGGTCTACATGTGTGTGTTCAGGTCTACATGTGTGTGTTTAGGTCTACATGTGTGTGTTCAGGTCTACATGTGTGTGTTTAGGTCTACATGTGTGTGTTCAGGTCTACATGTGTGTGTTTAGGTCTACATGTGTGTGTTCAGGTCTACATGTGTGTGTTCAGGTCTACAGGTGTGTGTTCAGGTCTACATGTGTGTGTACAGGTCTACAGGTGTGTGTTTAGGTCTACATGTGTGTGTTCAGGTCTACAGGTGTGTGTTTAGGTCTACATGTGTGTGTTCAGGTCTACATGTGTGTGTTCAGGTCTACATGTGTGTGTTCAGGTCTACAGGTGTGTGTTTAGGTCTACATGTGTGTGTTCAGGTCTACATGTGTGTGTTCAGGTCTACATGTGTGTGTTCAGGTCTACATGTGTGTGTTCAGGTCTCCAGGTGGGGGTCAGAGAGTGTGCCTTCACGGAGCCGCCGCAGGCGGCGGAGCCTCACAGCACGGCAGCCAATGAGCGAGGAGAGGTGCAGGAGAACGGCACGGTGCGCTGCATCCACGGATCCCGCTGCTATGGAGTGTGGAAAAAGAGACCAGATGGGGAAATACATCTGGAGGGGCAAGGTGATAAAACAACACAGAGACACGCACGCACGCACACACACACACACACACACACACACACACACACACACACACACACACACACACACACACACACACACACACACACACACACACACACACACACACACACACACACACACACACACAATCTCAGAGATTTATAGAGTCTTAAACAGCCTTCAAAAAGTCCCAAAGACTCTTAACCTGTTGAACCCTGAGCCTGTTTTCAGGTCTCAGGCTCGAAAATGCCATTCCCAGAACAAATGACCATATCTTAACTTCTAAAAGGGTTAAATTAATAATCTTTGTTCTCAAAGCAATGATAAACCTGTGAGTTGGATGTAGAAGAGTCAGAATCAATATAGATGTTTTTTATTTTAAAGTTAATTCAGATTGAACATAGTAAAATGTAAATTATAGTGTCCGTCCAAAAATAAACCATTACTTATAGTGAAAACCACCCTTGAATGACTATGATGATAGTAGATGGGATAGTAAACATATAATAAGTACCCTGTATCAAGATTGATGCAAAAGAAGTGACATTTGACCTTTTTAGAGAGGTTTAGAAAAAAGAACCCACTTCTGGGGTCATTTGGGTGGATTTGACCTATCTCTGGAACCCATCGGTCGATTTTGATGATTGACACCTCTTTTGAACCGTTAGAGCCAATGGAATCGAGAGGGAGTTCCTAAATCCACCTACACGTTACCATGAGGAGTGAGAGTGATGCGCACGCAGCTTGCCCAAACCGAAAGCTACGTTACGCTCTGAAAACTGAAAACTAAGCTTATTGCCATAAATATGATGATGGATTATCAGAAATCATTTCAAAGTGACACAGACACATTGGATTAACCTTCAGCAGCGTTTTTATCGCTTTAATGCCATTGAACAGAACTTTTGATCAGAAAACAGCAAAGGTAAGACATATTTGCCGTTTTGGCTCAGTAAAGCTATGTTGTGTGTTGTCTGGGTTTGCCTTCGCTGCCCTGAGTTTTGATCGCACAGTGATGATACTTATACCTCTAGAATCTGTGGAATCTCAGCTTTAATCTGATATCTTGTTTGTGCAGATCCGATAAGTAATAAACAGGGTGCGTACGGGTGCTGGAAATCCTTGAAAATGCTTGAAATTGTACGAGGTGTTTTCAAAGTTTGAAAAGTGCTTGAATTTTGGGAATGGTGCTTGAATTTGGGATAAAGTGCTTGAAATTGTAAATGCTTTACTTCGCTTTTTAGATTAAAAGAAAATAAAGAAATCGGAGCGCGCTTAATTGCTTCGCTTTTACATAAAACAGCTCCGCTCCGGCCTTCCCGCGCTATGCGCGTGACCGGCAAGTGTTTTTGTTACGTGTGTGACCTGGGCATTCTGATGAGAGTGATAGATGACAGTATGCCAGGAGGTTGCCGTTTCAACGAGCGTTGGCTAGCAGAAGACAAATACAAGCCATGGCTAAGACGAGGGTCAAGCGAAGCCCAAGAGTAGCCTCCTGCAAAGTGTGCAACAATAACGATGCGAGAGTCTGCGCTGACGAGCCACACACCACACGAAAGGTACGCTGTAGTAGAACATTTTAGATTAGGCTATCGTTGCATGTAAAATACATGACACTTTTCTCTGTGCGGCAAAACAAGCTCGCCAAAATGGCTTCACTAGTCTGGCAGTATTTTAAGTGTCCGAAAATGACAATAAAATAGCGGTATGCAACGTGTGTGAAGCAGAAATCCTGCAGCTCCACCCGCTGTGACGGACCGGTGAGCGGAGCAGAACACACATTAAGAGTTAGACCTAACACACTTAGCTATTTGATCTACCTCTGGAACAAGCTAAACTAGTTATACATATATTTATTCTTCACTGTCGGGTTGCTCATTACTGGATCAGTGAGCTGCAGGAGATACTGACGGGCTGTCAGGAAAAGAGAGAGAGAGAGAGAGAGAGGGGGAGAGAGAGAGGGGAGAGAGAGGGGGAGAGAGAGGGGGAGAGAGATAGGGGGAGAGAGAGAGAGATAGGAGAGGAGAGAGAGAGAGAGAGGAGAGAGAGAGAGAGAGAGAGAGAGAGAGAGAGAGAGAGAGAGAGAGAGAGAGAGAGAGGAAAAGAGAGCGATATCGGTATCGGCCGATACTGATTCCGGCGATCGGAGCATCCCTAATAATTGGATCTGATATGTTTTATAATGATTGATCATGAAAGTGTTCTCAAAGCTGGTAAAGGTGCAGCTAGTTTGAATGACTTTGTATACTGCAGGGTAGCTTTGGATTTACTCCAGGTGGAACTAGAGTCTGATTTAACACTTGGTTATTTCACATCATTCATCCACATCTGTGAAGTAACTAAAGGTATAAGTACATGTAGTGGAGTCAAAGTACACCATGTACCTCTGACTTGTGTTTACTGCCAACCTAAAAGTACCTCAAAAATAGTAATCAATAATATATTGAAAAGTTATTTGGCTGATTGTTTTATATTGGCTCAGCCAGGTCATATGGGATGCCCAGTCTACGTACAGATGGGTCTCATTTTGAAATATTAAACTTAGTTTTCTTTTCTAACATTTTTAATTTTTCATCCTCATGTAGAATGCTATTATGAAACACACATTTGGTTGTTTATAGCATAAAGAACATCTGATTTAATGTGAGGTAGGGAAATAATCATTTGAGTATAAGTATGTGTATATAAATATGTAATTTACAACAGCTGTAAGATGCTTGAAAAGCTTGAAAATGCACCTTGAAAAGTGCTTGAATTTGACTTTGGAAAAGGTGTAAGAACCCTGAATAAAGTATTTAGACCGTGAGTTCTGTGCTAAGTGCGTTAGCATTTTTTCGCTCAGGGCTAATTCAGAAGCTTGGTATTACCCTTGTGTTTCGTTTCAGCAATTTATTTTCGTATCTTCAGTTAGCTGAGTTTCTCCCCGTTACGTGGGTATGACACATTCATAGGTTGTTAAATGTTAACCTGTTACGCACGGCCCCCCCGGGTACCGGGCGGATAAACGCGTCATTTGCAGGAAACAACGTCTCAGGAATCTTAATATTTAATAAACTATGAATGTTTTATATCCATGTAACGGGAAGAAACTCAGCTAACTGATCTTTTTAATTTTTTTTTCCAAAAAAAAACCCACAATGCTAACACTCAGCCTCTGAATTAGCCACGAGCGAAAAAATGTAACCTATCACTGCACCTAAACTCACAATAACTCCCTTATTACTTATCCTAGATGCACAGCCAACCACTTGTTTTTGGTCTCCTGGAGACACTGAATCTAGTGGTGCCCACCTCAACACTCAGTGATAAACATTTGCGACGCTATAAACGAAAGCGTACATCATAACATGTGGAGCTAGGTAGCTAGAAACGCTAACATGGCTTACCTTGGTCAAAACTGGTCTTCAATGGCATTAAAACGATATAAAAACGATGCTGCAGTTAATCCATAGGTTCATCCAATGTGTCTGTGTCCTCTTTGAAATGATTTCTGATAATCCATAAGCAATAAAACTGCTTTTTAGTTTCCAAATGCCAGAGCTAGAGATCGGTCCACTCTGCTGCACATTTCCATGCGCGCAGCCCCCACCTTTTCTCTTCACAACGTGTGTGTGTGGGGGCCTCCCCCTTCGATTCTATTGGCTCTAACGGTCAGAAAGAGGTGTCAACCATCAAAATCGACCAAGAGGGGCCAGAGATATGGAAAAAAAAACATTTTCACCCAAATCACCTCAGAGGTGGGGTGGTTTTGGCTAAACCTCTCTAAAAAGGTCAAATGTCACTTGTTTTACATCAATCTTGATACAGGGTACTTATTATATGTTGTACTTTGGATTCCTAAAGCTTTTAGTCTACTAACCCATCATCCAAGGGTAGTTTTCACTATCTGTAAAAAATAATATTTGGACGGACACTATAATTTACAGTTTTTTACTATGTAAAATCTGAATTTTCTTTAAAATAAAAAACATCTATATTGATTCTGACACTTCTACATCCAACTCACAGATGTAACCTTGCTTTGATAAAATAAATTATTCATATAACCCTTTTAGAAGTTAAGTTGTAGTCATTTGTTTTGGGCATGTCATTTTCGAGCCTGAAACATGAAAAACAGGCTTGGTGCTTAACAGGTTAAGAAGCCCTGAGACACAGTTTCGTGAAAAAACAGGTTATGGAGTCCCAAAGAGTCTGAAAGGCTGAAAGAGTCCCGACAAGTCCCAAAGAGTCCCAAAGAGTCCCAAAGAGTACTGACAAGTCCAAAAGAGTCCCAAAAGATCCCAAAGTCTCAAAGAATCTCAAAAGCCGCGTTCACACCAAGTACTTTCCTGTACTTAGTTCTGGCACTCAGTGCCCGGCGCTTTTAACCCCAGAGCACTTAGTACAGATCGCGTTCACACCGGAGTACTTTTCCCTGAGGGAAGATTACGCAAATGAGCCGCTGACGTCACTTCTTCTTCTTCTGCTTTGGCTTTACTGGCAGGCCACAAACCACTTCACGGCGAGTACAGTAGGTGGCGGTATGCACCTTAAAGTTGTTTGCAATCCGCTGCAAAACAAGAGAAGAAGAAGAAGAAAAACTTCCCTTGTATACTGCGACGCCCACCCACTCGCTGTACATTAGGCGTCTGTTGTTTCCGACCTCAGACATGATGGAGATGGAGTCGACTGAAGTTGTGCTGTTTGTGCTCATGTTATACAGCTTTGTAACTGAGTTCATGCAGCCTGAGCAACTTGCGTACAATAACAAAACAAGCCGAGCACGAGTGGTGGTGGAGAACGCTTTTGGCAGACTGAAGGGCAGGTGGCGGTGCTTGATGAAAAGAAACGACTGCAGGATGGACAAGATCACAATCCAGGTGGCAGCATGTTGCATATTACATAACCTTTGTGAGAGTAATGAGTACAGGGACGAATGGACTGCCTTACCGGAGACCCAGCTTGATGGGCCAGCCATTGCAGAGGCTGGGGGGCAAGACACGCCACAGCCCTTATGAGGCATCTGAACAGCGTGTACATTGTAAACATTTTGACAATAAAGATAATCTTTTGTACAGTGCTTTTGTTTCTCTTTTATTTTCCAGTCAAGACAGGCAACATTACAATAGTGTACAGTGTGGCAATATAATAACAATAAACTGTGCCAGGTGTGTTGTATGCACAGTAAATAGGCTCAGCAGCAAACCCACCGTTATTATATATCTTCCTGAGACCCACTGCATCCGTCTGCCATAAACACTATGGAAACATACATGTTAGTTTCGGAGAAAATTCGCATCCCGTGTCCGCTTTCCTAAGAGGGGAAAATAAGCAAGACCTGTTTAGTCGCCATGTAGTTTTACAACATACTAGGAATGTGTTTTTGGTATTTTCACAAATAGAATTAAGGTTTCACAAATCTGAAACTGTGTTATAAAGAATGTTTGGCCTCTCTGGGATAATCCAGTCCAGATAAATCGGCTATGCAGCGATTCAAGAGGTTCAAACACGGAGGATTGTTCCTTTTTGAAGAGTGCTTCATGTATGCTTGAACTTTGTTTAATGTTGTTGAGGCAAGTTAAACATAAAATATGATGAATATTATTAAATAAACATGATTGTGAACATCAGTTCGATGCGTAACGTTCTTTCAAGACAAACTGTGTGTGTACCTTTGCGTTTGGTTGCTGGTAAGGAGGACGAGCTAGCGCTGTGATCTAGAAGGCAAAGCTCGCTTGTTTCCAATCCCGAGAGTTGTCCATCCTCGCCTGAAACAGACGATTAGTGCCATGAGTTAGTGAAGCAAATTACAGAAACACTGCACAGTTATTCACAAGTCAAAACGTTTTCATAGCGGCCGAGAATATCTAGCTAGCTAGATGTAGCTAGCTCGGGGCCGGTGTTAGCCTATTCAGCCTAGCATGGCTAGCTTGATCTACTGAGCAAATAAAAGTACATCTGAGACCATTATTGTGCAGATTAAAACCCCAGTGCATGTAGTTGATTTTACCTTCATCGTGGTAGTCATCGTTGGCCACTGAATCCGCCGTTTGTAGTCCTGCCTGAGTTTCTTTATTTTTAGCCGGCTGTGCACAATTCCCAGGTCGAGTGAAAGCTACTGAACTGGCTTCAGTAGCTTTCCCTGGGTCGCGTCCTCGGCGTAGATCTCCAGAAGCGCCGACACCTCCTCATCATCATTTCTTGATGCTTGCCATAACTGCTTTCAAAAACAAACCCAACGCTCCGTCGGTGCGTTGGGTTTTTGTAGCGAGGAAAAACAATGGCGTCTCCACACAACATTTTCACAGTTGTACGGGCGTGGTTTGCAATTCGCCCAGCCAATCAGCACTGGGGCACTTTTCACCCACAGAAAAGTACGCTCTCCCAGCGGGCTCTAAAAATGGGGGTAAAAGTACCCGAGATTAAGTACGATTTTTGGTGTGAACGCGACATAAGGGGTACTCACGGAACTAAACGCGAAAAGTACGGTGAAAAGTACTCCGGTGTGAACACGGCTAAAGAGTCCAAAAGAGTCCCAAAGAGTCTCAAAGAGTCTCAAAGAGTCCCAACGAGTCCAAAAGAGTCCCAACGAGTCCCAAAGAGTCCCAACGAGTCCCAAAGAGTCGCAACAAGTCCAAAAGAGTCCCAGAGTCCCAAAGAGTCTGAAAGGCTGAAAGAGTCCCGACAAGTCCCGACAAGTCCCGACAAGTCCCAAAGACTCTCAAAGAGTCCAAAAGAGTCCCAAAGGATACCAAAGTCTAAAAGACTCCCAAAGAGTCTCAAAGAGTCCAAAAGAGTCCAAAAGAGTCGCAACAAGTCCCAAAGGATACCAAAGTCTAAAAGACTCCCAAAGAGTCTCAAAGAGTCCCAAAAAGTCGCAACAAGTCCCAAAGAGTCCCAAATAGTCCCTAAGAGTCCCAAAGAGTCTCAAAGAGTCTCAAAAAGTCGCAACAAGTCCCAAAGAGTCCCAAATAGTCCCTAAGAGTCCCAAAGAGTCCCAAAGAGTCTCAAAGGATCCCAAAGAGTCCCAAAGAGTCCCAAATAGTCCCAAAGAGTCCCAAATAGTCCCAAAGAGTCCCAAAGAGTCCCAAAGAGTCCCAAATAGTCCCTACGAGTCCCAAAGAGTCCCAAAGAGTCCCAAATAGTCCCAAAGAGTCCCAAAGAGTCCCAAAGAGTCCCAAATAGTCCCTAAGAGTCCCAAAGAGTCCCAAAGAGTCCCAAATAGTCCCTAAGAGTCCCAAAGAGTCCCAAAGAGTCAACTATTCCAAAACATCTAAGGGTTCAAAGAGTCGTTAAAAATCATCACCTCAAAGGACCTTAGATGTCCTGTTTTCCACTGAAATAAGACCTGTTCTGGTCCCATGCTGAAGTTACTGTTAGATCGCAGTTAGTTGAACTTGTGAACCTGTTTGCTTTACCACCAACCAGGCGTCAGCGTATATTTAAGTGTCCAAGAGAGTCCAAGAGAGTCCCATAGATCCTCAAAGAGTCTTGAAGAATCCTGAAGAGTCTAAAAGATCCCAACAGCCTGAGACTCTTTGAGTTAGGGTGTCTAGTTCCTGATTAATTTAGTGTAAATAGAGTTTTAAGACCCGCTTCCTGTGTCCCAGGCTGCTGGCCTAACGCTGAGGACCAGCAGGAGTGTCATGGCGACCGTTGCCTGGTAACAGCGACGCCCTCTCACATCCAGACTGAAAGCTACAGGTTCTGCTGCTGCAACAGAGACCTCTGCAACACAGAGTTCAGTGAAGCCCCTCCCCCTGAGCTGCCCCCCGACCAGAGGCACACAGGTGAGACACACACACACACACACACACACACACACACACACACACACACACACACACACACACACACACACACACAGGTTAGACGACAGAGGTGGGAAGTAGTGGAGTAAAAATACTTTGTTACTGTACTTAAGTACATGTTTCTGGTATCAGTACTTTACTCCACTACTTATTTTTCTGACCACTTTTTACTTTGACTTCTCACATGTTGAACACAAATACCTGTACTTTCTACTTCTTACATGTTGAACACAAATACCTGTACTTTCTACTTCTTACATGTTGAACTCAAATACCTGTACTTTCTACTTCTCACATGTTGAACACAAATACCTGTACTTTCTACTTCTTACATGTTGAACACAAATACCTGTACTTTCTACTTCTTACATGTTGAACACAAATACATGTACTTTCTACTTCTTACATGTTGAACACAAATACCTGTACTTTCTACTTCTTACATGTTGAACACAAATACCTGTACTTTCTACTTCTTACATGTTGAACACAAATACATGTACTTTCTACTTCTTACATGTTGAACACAAATACATGTACTTTCTACTTCTTACATGTTGAACACAAATACATGTACTTTCTACTTCTTACATGTTGAACTCAAATACCTGTACTTTCTACTTCTTACATGTTGAACACAAATACCTGTACTTTCTACTTCTTACATGTTGAACCCAAATACCTGTACTTTCTACTTCTTACATGTTGAACACAAATACCTGTACTTTCTACTTCTTACATGTTGAACCCAAATACCTGTACTTTCTACTTCTTACATGTTGAACACAAATACCTGTACTTTCTACTTCTCACATGTTGAACCCAAATACCTGTACTTTCTACTTCTTACATGTTGAACACAAATACCTGTACTTTCTACTTCTTACATGTTGAACACAAATACATGTACTTTCTACTTCTTACATGTTGAACACAAATACATGTACTTTCTACTTCTTACATGTTGAACACAAATACCTGTACTTTCTACTTCTTACATGTTGAACACAAATACATGTACTTTCTACTTCTTACATGTTGAACACAAATACATGTACTTTCTACTTCTTACATGTTGAACACAAATACATGTACTTTCTACTTCTTACATGTTGAACTCAAATACCTGTACTTTCTACTTCTTACATGTTGAACCCAAATACCTGTACTTTCTACTTCTTACATGTTGAACCCAAATACCTGTACTTTCTACTTCTTACATGTTGAACACAAATACCTGTACTTTCTACTTCTTACATTTCTAACCCAAACACCTGTACTTTCTACTTCTCACATGTTGAACCCAAATACCTGTACTTTCTACTTCTTACATGTTGAACACAAATACCTGTACTTTCTACTTCTTACATGTTGAACCCAAATACCTGTACTTTCTACTTCTTACATGTTGAACCCAAATACCTGTACTTTCTACTTCTTACATGTTGAACCCAAATACCTGTACTTTCTACTTCTTACATGTTGAACCCAAATACCTGTACTTTCTACTTCTTACATGTTGAACACAAATACCTGTACTTTCTACTTCTTACATGTTGAACACAAATACCTGTACTTTCTACTTCTTACATGTTGAACACAAATACCTGTACTTTCTACTTCTCACATGTTGAACCCAAATACCTGTACTTTCTACTTCTACATGTTGAACACAAATACCTGTACTTTCTACTTCTTACATGTTGAACACAAATACCTGTACTTTCTACTTCTTACATGTTGAACACAAATACCTGTACTTTCTACTTCTCACATGTTGAACACCAAATACCTGTACTTTCTACTTCTTACATGTTGAACACAAATACCTGTACTTTCTACTTCTTACATGTTGAACACAAATACCTGTACTTTCTACTTCTTACATGTTGAACACAAATACCTGTACTTTCTACTTCTTACATGTTGAACACAATACCTGTACTTTCTACTTCTTACATGTTGAACACAAATACCTGTACTTTCTACTTCTCACATGTTGAACCCAAATACCTGTACTTTCTACTTCTTACATGTTGAACACAAATACCTGTACTTTCTACTTCTTACATGTTGAACACAAATACCTGTACTTTCTACTTCTTACATGTTGAACACAAATACCTGTACTTTCTACTTCTCACATTTTGAACCCAAATACCTGTACTTTCTACTTCTTACATGTTGAACACAAATACCTGTACTTTCTACTTCTTACATGTTGAACACAAATACCTGTACTTTCTACTTCTCACATTTCCCAAACAGGCTGGTTCCTTTAGTTTGAATGTGTGTTTGGTGGCGTGATCATTATTATTTAGAGTCATTGCGTGCCTATTGATTTGAACACGATCCGTGTATCCATCATTTCCTGGTCTTCTCTAAAGAAGAGGGACCAATGAAAACGTTGTCATGTTGCCGTTGTTCAGCATGGAAACATTCATTAGCTAACAATGACATTATTGTTCTATTAATATAAAGGGAGGTCAGGTACTCTTTAAAACAGCTGCTAGTTATGGGTACTTTTTACTTAAGTACATTTCAAAGCCTCTTTACTTTGACTTGAGTAAAGAAGTTTAGTCAGTACTTCTACTTTTACCAGAGTATTTTTAAACACGAGTATCTGTACTTCTACTTTTACCAGAGTATTTTTAAACACGAGTATCTGTACTTCTACCTGAATAAAGGATGTGTGTACTTTTACCCTCTCTGGAGACGACCAATCACGTGCCTGGTTTCATTATTGATCCTTCTCCAGTCCTTTACTGGTCTCACTGCTGAATGTAAATCCTGATGATGATGATGATGATGATGATGATGATGGTTTTCTTCCTCCTCGTCCTGCAGACCAGCAGCTGCTGAGGAGGGGGGAGGCGGCGCTCATCGCCCTGGCAACCCTCGCCATGGCAGCCGTCGTCATCGTGGCGTTGTTCCTGGGATACCGCATGATGAAAGGTGAATGCAGATAATAATAATATACATTTTAATTAATAATAATTAATACCATTTTTTTATAATAATACAAAACAATATCAAGGAAAAAGTAAACAAATAAATAGATATATTAATAATAAATAATAATAATAATATAATGTGTAGTGGCCAAAATCCCCAAAGTTTGTCTTGTAACTCGATACCTCAAAAGTTCTTGTTCTTGGCCACATGTAGAGCTCGGGGCTGGGAAGCAGTGTCAGACTCGCAGGACAAAATCCACTGGACGTTTCGCTTGCTTTTCAACGTTTATTTCCAGCAAACATAAAACAAAATACGAAAACAATATTTAACATAAACTTAAACAGCAGATCCTAATAATCCGTCTTTTACTAAGCCTCAGGTTGCGTCTGCGTGTCAATGACGGTATTGCTGCTGCCTGCTGCCCTGCCGTCACACACCGCACCTCCAACTTAAAGCTTTAGCCCCGCCCCCTTCACCTGAGCAAAGCGCACCTCTCACTGAAACAGAAAAATGCATTAATAAAGGCTCCAAATAAATCACAACAAAATAAACTTAAATGCGGCTCCTACAAAATGTTTTATTTCTTTTTTATTTAACCTTTATTTAACCAGATAAAAGCATTGAGATAAAATCTCATTTTCAAAGCTGACCTGGCCAAGAAGGCAGCAACGTGACACAGAACACATACATATAAAATACAGAGAACACAACTAAGAAAACAAGATGAAAAAGCAGTCACTACATTGTGCACATTAGGACAGTAAGAAAGGTACCTGTTACTGCAAGAGCAGCTGGTGGTGAGGACTTCAGACCACTTCAATTTAAAGCATGCTATAGAGACAAGTGCCCTCAGTTTGAGGCGTGATTGAAGGTCATTCCAAGACCAAGGACCATAATGAGAAAGACTCCTTTCTCCAGCCTCAGTCCGCACAGCAGGAACCTGGACCCGTATCCAGGTACCTGGACCCGTATCCAGGTACCTGGACCCGTATCCAGGAACCTGGACCCGTATCCAGGAACCTGGACCCGTATCCAGGAACCTGGACCCGTATCCAGGAACCTGGACCCGTATCCAGGAACCTGGACCCGTATCCAGGAACCTGGACCCGTATCCAGGTACCTGGACCCGTATCCAGGAACCTGGACCCGTATCCAGGAACCTGGACCCGTATCCAGGAACCTGGACCCGTATCCAGGAACCTGGACCCGTATCCAGGTACCTGGACCCGTATCCAGGAACCTGGACCCGTATCCAGGTACCTGGACCCGTATCCAGGAACCTGGACCCGTATCCAGGTACCTGGACCCGTATCCAGGAACCTGGACCCGTATCCAGGCGCTGGGTCTGAGGTTGTGAGAGTCACTAACTGGAGCAGATCTCTCACATATGTAGAGTGGAAGCTTTCATAAAATGGCTTTATACATTAAAATGATTACAAAAACATATAGAAATAATATATTTGATCATTTTAATAATAATAATATTTGCCTAAACTAAATAAATAAATAATAATTATAATAATAATTAATATAATGAAGATGATTAAACAACATTTATATAAACTAATAATTAATAATAGTTATTAATCAAATGTATCTGTGTACTCAGGGAAGCAGAAGCACATTCTGTGGGCTGAGGATGAGATGGAGGCAGCACACACTGCTGAGGACCTGAAGCTACTGGAGGTACACACACACACACACACACACACACACACACACACACACACACACACACACACACACACACACACACACACACACACACACACACACACACACACACACAGACACAGACACACACAGACAGGCTGAGAGACAGACAGGCTGAGAGACAGACATACACAGAGAGACAGACAAAGAGACAGACACACAGACAGAAAGACAGACACACACACAGACAGACACACAGAGAGACAGACACACAGAGAGACAGACACACATAAAGACAGACACACAGAAAGACAGACACACACACAGACAGACACACAGAGAGACAGACACACAGAAAGACAGACACACAGAGAGACAGACACACAGAGAGACAGACACACAGAGAGACAGACAGACAGACACACACACAGACAGACACACAGAGAGACAGACACACAGAAAGACAGACACACAGAGAGACAGACACACAGAGAGACAGACACACAGAGAGACAGACAGACAGACACACACACAGACAGACACACAGAGAGACAGACACACAGAAAGACATACACACAGAAAGACATACACACAGAGAGACATACACACAGAGAGACAGACAAAGAGAGAGACAGACACACAGAGAGACAGACACACAGAGAGACAGACACACAGAGAGACAGACACACAGAGAGACAGACAAAGAGAGAGACAGACAAAGAGAGAGACAGACACACAGAGAGACAGACACACAGAGAGACAGACACACAGAGAGACAGACACACAGAGAGACAGACACACAGAGAGACATACACACAGAGAGACAGACACACAGAGAGACAGACACACAGAGAGACAGACACACAGAGAGACAGACAAAGAGAGAGACAGACACACAGAGAGACATACACACAGAGAGACAGACACACAGAGAGACAGACAAAGAGAGAGACAGACAAAGAGAGAGACAGACACACAGAGAGACATACACACAGAGAGACAGACAAAGAGAGAGACAGACACACAGAGAGACAGACACACAGAGAGACAGACACACAGAGAGACAGACACACAGAGAGACAGACAAAGAGAGAGACAGACAAAGAGAGAGACAGACACACAGAGAGACATACACACAGAGAGACAGACAAAGAGAGAGACAGACACACAGAGAGACAGACACACAGAGAGACAGACACACAGAGAGACATACACACAGAGAGACAGACACACAGAGAGACAGACACACAGAGAGACAGACAAAGAGAGAGACAGACACACAGAGAGACAGACACACAGAGAGACATACACACAGAGAGACAGACACACAGAGAGACAGACACACAGAGAGACAGACAAAGAGAGAGACAGACACACAGAGAGACATACACACAGAGAGACAGACAAAGAGAGAGACAGACACACAGAGAGACAGACAAAGAGAGAGACAGACACACAGAGAGACAGACAAAGAGAGAGACAGACACACAGAGAGACAGACACACAGAGAGACAGACACACAGAGAGACAGACACACAGAGAGACAGACACACAGAGAGACAGACACACAGAGAGACAGACACACAGAGAGACAGACACACAGAGAGACAGACAAAGAGAGAGACAGACACACAGAGAGACAGACAAAGAGAGAGACAGACAAAGAGAGAGACAGACACACAGAGAGACAGACAAAGAGAGAGACAGACACACAGAGAGACAGACACACAGAGAGACAGACACACAGAGAGACAGACACACAGAGAGACAGACACACAGAGAGAGACAGACACACAGAGAGACAGACAAAGAGAGAGACAGACACACAGAGAGACATACACACAGAGAGACAGACAAAGAGAGAGACAGACACACAGAGAGACAGACAAGAGAGAGACAGACACACAGAGAGACAGACAAAGAGAGAGACAGACACACAGAGAGACAGACAAAGAGAGTGACAGACACACAGAGAGACAGACACACAGAGAGACAGACACACAGAGAGACAGACACACAGAGAGACAGACACACAGAGAGACAGACAAAGAGAGAGACAGACACACAGAGAGACAGACACACAGAGAGACATACACACAGAGAGACAGACACACAGAGAGACAGACACACAGAGAGACAGACACACAGAGAGACATACACACAGAGAGACAGACACACAGAGAGACAGACACAACAGAGAGACATACACACAGAGAGACATACACACAGAGAGACAGACACACAGAGAGACATACACACAGAGAGACAGACACACAGAGAGACATACACACAGAGAGACAGACACACAGAGAGACAGACACACAGAGAGACAGACACACAGAGAGACAGACACACAGAGAGACAGACACACAGAGAGACAGACACACAGAGAGACAGACAAAGAGAGAGACAGACACACAGAGAGACAGACACACAGAGAGACATACACACAGAGAGACAGACACACAGAGAGACAGACAAAGAGAGAGACAGACACACAGAGAGACATACACACAGAGAGACAGACAAAGAGAGAGACAGACACACAGAGAGACAGACAAAGAGAGAGACAGACACACAGAGAGACAGACAAAGAGAGAGACAGACACACAGAGAGAGACACACAGAGAGACAGACACACAGAGAGACAGACACACAGAAGAGACAGACACACAGAGAGACAGACACACAGAGAGACAGACACACAGAGAGACAGACAAAGAGAGAGACAGACACACAGAGAGACAGACAAAGAGAGAGACAGACACACAGAGAGACAGACACACAGAGAGACAGACACACAGAGAGACAGACACACAGAGAGACAGACAAAGAGAGAGACAGACACACAGAGAGACAGACACACAGAGAGACAGACAGACACACAGAGAGACATACACACAGAGAGACAGACAAAGAGAGAGACAGACACACAGAGAGACAGACAAAGAGAGAGACAGACACACAGAGAGACAGACACACAGAGAGACAGACACACAGAGAGACAGACACACAGAGAGACAGACAAAGAGAGAGACAGACACACAGAGAGACAGACACACAGAGAGACAGACACACAGAGAGACAGACACACAGAGAGACAGACAGACACACAGAGAGACAGACAAAGAGAGAGACAGACACACAGAGAGACAGACACACAGAGAGACAGACAGACACACAGAGAGACATACACACAGAGAGACAGACAAAGAGAGAGACATACACACAGAGAGACAGACAAAGAGAGAGACAGACACACAGAGAGACATACACACAGAGAGACAGACAAAGAGAGAGACAGACACACAGAGAGACAGACACACAGAGAGACAGACAAAGAGAGAGACAGACACACAGAGAGACAGACACACAGAGAGACAGACAGACACACAGAGAGACAGACACACAGAGAGACAGACAAAGAGAGAGACAGACAAAGAGAGAGACAGACACACAGAGAGACAGACACACAGAGAGACAGACACACAGAGAGACAGACAGACACACAGAGAGACAGACACACAGAGAGACAGACAGACACACAGAGAGACAGACACACAGAGAGACAGACACACAGAGAGACAGACAGACACACAGAGAGACAGACACACAGAGAGACAGACACACAGAGAGACAGACAGACACACAGAGAGACAGACACACAGAGAGACAGACACACAGAGAGACAGACACACAGAGAGACAGACACACAGAGAGACATACACACAGAGAGACAGACAGACACACAGAGAGACAGACACACAGAGAGACAGACACACAAACATACACACAGAGAGACAGACAGACACACAGACACACAAACATACACACAGAGAGACAGACACACAAACAGACACACAGAGAGACAGACAGACACACAGAGAGACAGACACACAGAGAGACAGACACACAAACATACACACAGAGAGACAGACAGAGAGACAGACACACAAACACACACTCACACACACTCACACACACACACACACACACACACACACACACACACACACACACACACACACACACACACACACACACAGTCTGTCTAACGAGCCTCTCCTCCGTGCTGGCAGCTGATTGGTCGGGGTCGTTACGGCACGGTGTTCAGAGGCTCTCTTAACGAGCGCTGCGTTGCCGTGAAACTCTTCTCTTCGGCCAATCGGCAGAGCTTCACTAACGAGCGCTCGATCTACGGCCTGCCGCTGCTGCAGCTGCACGACAACATCGCCCGATTCCTCGCCGCCGACGAGAGGACGAACGCTGAGGGACGAGCGGAGTTCCTCATCCTCATGGAGTACTACCCTCATGTGAGACACACACATTACATCACATGTGAGACACACACATCACATCACATGTGAGACACACACATCACATGTGAGACACACACATCACATCACATGTGAGACACACACATCACATGTGAGACACACACATTACATCACATGTGAGACACACACATCACATCACATGTGAGACACACACATCACATGTGAGACACACACATCACATGTGAGACACACACATTACATCACATGTGAGACACACACATCACTTGTGAGACACACACATCACATCACATGTGAGACACACACATCACATCACATGTGAGACACACACATCACATCACATGTGAGACACACACATCACATGTGAGACACACACATCACATGTGAGACACACACATCACATGTGAGACACACACATCACATGTGAGACACACACATTACATGTGAGACACACACATCACATGTGAGACACACACATCACATGTGAGACACACACATCACATGTGAGACACACACATCACATGTGAGACACACACATTACATCACATGTGAGACACACACATTACATCACATGTGAGACACACACATCACATGTGAGACACACACATCACATGTGAGACACACACATCACATGTGAGACACACACATCACATCACATGTGAGACACACATCACATCACATGTGAGACACACACATCACATGTGAGTCTCTGAAGTGTCCTGCTCCAAACCCCAAACAGATCCTTGTAGCCCCCCCCCCCTCTCTTCCAGCTGTTACTAAGGACATGTCTCTGAAGTGTCCTGCTCCAAACCCCAAACAGATCCTTGTAGCCCCCCCCCCCTCTCTTCCAGCTGTTACTAAGGACATGTCTCTGAAGTGTCCTGCTCCAAACCCCAAACAGATCCTTGTAGCCCCCCCCCCCCCTCTCTTCCAGCTGTTACTAAGGACATGTCTCTGAAGTGTCCTGCTCCAGACCCCAAACAGATCCTTGTAGCCCCCCCCCCCCCCCTCTTCCAGCTGTTACTAAGGACATGTCTCTGAAGTGTCCTGCTCCAAACCCCAAACAGATCCTTGTAGCCCCCCCCCCCTCTCTTCCAGCTGTTACTAAGGACATGTCTCTGAAGTGTCCTGCTCCAGACCCCAAACAGATCCTTGTAGCCCCCCCACCCCTCTCTCTTCCAGCTGTTACTAAGGACATGTCTCTGAAGTGTCCTGCTCCAGACCCCAAACAGATCCTTGTAGCCCCCCCCCCTCTCTTCCAGCTGTTACTAAGGACATGTCTCTGAAGTGTCCTGCTCCAAACCCCAAACAGATCCTTGTAGCCCCCCCCCTCTCTCTTCCAGCTGTTACTAAGGACATGTCTCTGAAGTGTCCTGCTCCAAACCCCCAAACAGATCCTTGTAGCCCCCCCCCCCCTCTCTTCCAGCTGTTACTAAGGACATGTCTCTGAAGTGTCCTGCTCCAAACCCCCAAACAGATCCTTGTAGCCCCCCCCCCCTCTCTCTTCCAGCTGTTACTAAGGACATGTCTCTGAAGTGTCCTGCTCCAAACCCCAAACAGATCCTTGTAGCCCCCCCCCCCTCTCTTCCAGCTGTTACTAAGGACATGTCTCTGAAGTGTCCTGCTCCAAACCCCAAACAGATCCTTGTAGCCCCCCCCCCCTCTCTTCCAGCTGTTACTAAGGACATGTCTCTGAAGGGTCCTGCTCCAAACCCCAAACAGATCCTTGTAGCCCCCCCCCCCCCCTCTTCCAGCTGTTACTAAGGACATGTCTCTGAAGTGTCCTGCTCCAGACCCCAAACAGATCCTTGTAGCCCCCCCCCCTCTCATCAGCTGTTACTAAGGACATGTCTCTGAAGTGTCCTGCTCCAAACCCCAAACAGATCCTTGTAGCCCCCCCCCCCCTCTTCCAGCTGTTACTAAGGACATGTCTCTGAAGTGTCCTGCTCCAGACCCCAAACAGATCCTTGTAGCCCCCCCCCCCCCTCTTCCAGCTGTTACTAAGGACATGTCTCTGAAGTGTCCTGCTCCAACCCCAAACAGATCCTTGTAGCCCCCCCACCCCTCTCTCTTCCAGCTGTTACTAAGGACATGTCTCTGAAGTGTCCTGCTCCAAACCCAAAACAGATCCTTGTAGCCCCCCCCCCCCCTCTCTTCCAGCTGTTACTAAGGACATGTCTCTGAAGTGTCCTGCTCCAGACCCCAAACAGATCCTTGTAGCCCCCCCCCCCCCTCTCTTCAGAGAGTGATCAGATTCAGAAAACCTTTATTCGGGATAACCGGGAAAATGTTGTGCAAAGAAAACAGTGCCTTTTA